CCCCCCCCCCCCCCGGATACCCATGGGTTCCTTTAAAAATGTTCAGCCATTTTGGTCGAATCGTTTGGCCAGCCATAGCTAACATACATATACATAAATTTATATTTATGATAACATAAAGATATATATATATATAGATCAAAGAACCTTATATTATAGATATATATGAGAGAATAGGGGGTGTAAACGTAATTTTCAGTGAGTACCCAATCAAAAGGTTGAATACCCGATTCAATCCGGAACCCTTTAAACTGTCTGATTGAAGGATTAATTAGATAACCTTGCTTTTTAAGCTAAAAATTGTTTTTTAAATAAAAAAAACTAATTCTGAAAACATATCCACCCCCAAAGTAGGAGTTTTGAACGTTGAATTTGCGCTCAAACTCAGGATTTACAGATCTTTAAAAAGTTTTATATGTCTCAAATGAATCCGAAAGAAGTTTTCCACAAAACTGCATACTCAGTTCACCTAACTTACAAAGCCGGTCACTCCCTTTAATTCGAACTTGCCCCTCTTTATATGTAAGGTTTCTTGAAATTGTAACTTCAGATTAAATTAAATTCAGTTTTTTTTTCAAGATGTCTTCAAAAAGATGACTTCTTATTAAACCATTAAACCAGTCATTAGTGTAAATAACGAATTTTTAAGGTTTTATACCATAAAATTGATTGTTTTTGATTGTGGCTTTCTAGAATTTTCTACTCTTTCCTGCCAAAAATTCTGTTCTTGATAGAAATATGACATGCGTCTTTGCTATTGATAAATGAAAATGTTCTGAATCGATAAAACTCTAAAACTGTAAGATAAAGTACAATCTAAAACTGTAAGATAAAGTTCAATCTAAAACTGTAAGATAAAGTTCAATCTGAAACTGTAAGATAAAGTACAATATAAAACTGTAAGATAAAGTGCAATATAAAACTGTAAGATAAAGTTCAATCTAAAACTGTAAGACAAAGTGCAATATAAAACTGTAAGATAAAGTACAATCTAAAACTGTAAGATAAAGTACAATCTAAAACTGTAAGATAAAGTGCAATATAAAACTGTAAGATAAAGTACAATATAAAACTGTAAGATAGAGTACAATATAAAACTGTAAGATAAAGTGCAATATAAAACAGTATGATGGAGTGCAATCCAAAAATGGAAACTGCAGGGCTTGAATTTTTAAAGTAAGTTAGGATCTTCAGGATTAATTTTGATTAAAAAGCAGTTTCAAATCTTAAAATAGTTTTTTAATTGTGATATGTTAAAGTTGAAACTCTAAAGATATTGAATTTTCCAAATGGACAATGTGGAAAACCAAGATTTTAACGGAAATTGTCTTTAGTTTTTACAGTTCCTAGTTTTAGTTCCTTGTTTTCAAAATACTGCAGTATGTATATAATGCAGTATATATGCAGTTAGACAAAATGCAGTTCTAGCTGCTTTCAGATTATTTAGTCTTCTTCCCCCCTCCTCCTTTCCTTAAACCTCATTTTAGATATTACTCTCTCATACATGTTCAACATCTCTTTATTAATCATAAGTTTTCAACATCTCTTTACTAATCATAATTTTTTAACATCTCTTTATTAATCCTAATTTTTTAACATCTCTTTACTAATCATAATTTTTTAACATCGTTGACATAGTTTTACATTATTTATAGGATAGACAGAAATTAAATCGAGAAATTAAAAATTTGCAGTAGTATATTTACATAATATACATCATATTTTTGTCTTTAGTTTTGTTGCCTCTAAAAAATTCCTATTTTGTTGAAACCACTTAAAACAGAAAAATATTAATAGTATGGCTAAGATTATAGAAACATTATAAATATAAAATTATTGCTAGAAAGATTCCTGGAAGTCTAGCTAGCTTTTACAATTTATAAAAGAAAATTGTCACAATAAAGCTAGAAGGTTGTCCAGTGTTGAGAGTGTGCCCAAGCCTATTTATTATTGAGTATTCCTTGAACATATTGTTATATAACAATTGAAGATGAGACATGAGTTACAACACTATGCCAACTAATAAACCATCATATATTATTTAGAAAGAAGGAGGGTAGATAGGGGGAAGGGACTTACGATTCAAAATATCTTATTTGTGAAAATTATGTCTTATAACTCTCTATCTTCTATTTTAGTTGGTTATCCAGTCAATCCAGAGATGCTCAGTTGTCTGAGTTTATTGAAGGTCTTGGACCCGGTCAACTTGTTGGTAGACAGGTAGATACAGTTTACTATACACTGGTCAACTTGTTGGTAGACAGGTAGATATAGTTTACTATACACTGGTAAACTTGTTGGTAGACAGGTAGATATAGTTTACTATACACTGGTCAACTTGTTGGTAGACAGGTAGATAGAGTTTACTGATTAAACACAACCATAGAAGGACGCTTTAAGATATTTTGTTGATAATCATAAAAAATCAAGAATAAATTCTCCAGGTTTTGGGATCTCCTGTCCTGGGAGATATCCAGCTCAGCCTGATTGACCGGCGCGGGAACCTTGAACTAGAAGTTATCAGGGCTAGAGGGCTGCAGACTAAAGCGGGTTCAAAACTGCTTCCAGGTTAGAAACATTTTTTTTCTTGTTAAATTTATCTTTTCAAACTTCACTGTCACAAGCAATCTGGACGTCATAATCGACCAATATATTTTTTGTAAAACCAAAAAATAGTTTGAAATAAGGAAAACTCCTGTAGATTTAGGTTTAGTAAAATATTGCGTGGTTTACTTAGCCTCTTTTAGTGCCGTGAACTAAATTCCTCCCACAGTCCTTTTGATCGCTAACTGCAAATCAAATCAAATATAAATCAAATCAGATATAAATCAAATCAAATCAACTCAAATATTAATTAAATCAAATCAAATCAAATGAGACGATCCCCGGTCGCCCTCGGCATATGCATTCGACTACCAATGATTTTAGCTGGACTAGCTAAAAGAGGTCTTTCAGGATATTTTGAACTTAAATGATGAGTTATATTTAATTTGTATAAATATGCATAGAGAAAAACTCATTGCAATTTTCTGGGACAATTTGAAAATAAATTTTTTCAGTGAAAAACATCGCAGCTCTGACCTAGTAAACAGTTCTAACATAAAATATATTTTCAGCTCCGTGAAAAACATCGCAGCTCTGACCTAGTAAACAGTTCTAATATAAAATATATTTTCAGCTCCGTGGGTGAAGGTTTACCTTGTAAGCGGGAAGAAATGCTTGGCTAAAGCAAAAACATCCCAGGCTCGTAGAACTCTAGATCCACTCTTCCAGCAGCAGCTCATCTTCAGCCAGAGATATGGGGGTTGTGTTCTTCAGGTTAGATCCGCCTCCCAGCCCCCCCCTTCTCTACAACATACTTTTTTCAGATAGCTTGCAACTTTGGCAATCGTAACGTGTTCTTTTTAGGGAAACTAAGTTCAGAGTTAATGAATAACTAGAAAAAGTTGAACCTATGTACGGAAAGCAGAACTATTTGTCTAGTTGTTTAAAAATATCTATTATACATAGTTTAACTACTTCTAGCTTTCTATTGATTAAATTCTTGTTTGATGCGTGTATAACGATATATATTGTAAATATTGCATCACAATACATCAGGAAAATAATTGTGCAACAAATTATTAAATTATAAATTATTTAAATATTTGTTTAGGTGACTATCTGGGGGGACTATGGACGAGTGGAGGGTGCCAAGGTTTTCATGGGAGTAGCACAAATCCTATTAGATAACCTAGACCTTTCTGAGCTCGTGATTGGTTGGTACAAACTCTTTGGAACATCCTCATTGGTCAGCGTACCACCAGGTGGTGGGAAAGACAGTGCCCTTCAGGTTAGAAGCATCAACTAATGAAATATCTAAAAATCAGAATAGTGAATATTCGAACAAGTTTTGACAATCTTTAATTTTCAGGATAACTCTAAAACTGAGATACAAAACCAGGTTTCGGAGGAGAGTATATCAGTTTCCGGTACATGACACCTGGCCAGCACTCGGACCCTGCGACCAAAAGTGCGGATATACATTAAAGTTTTTTCTAGTAGCCTTCTCATACAGCTGTTCATGTACGAGAACCCAACTCCAGGGGCTGCCAAGGTCCGGGCACACTCTTTATAAAGTATACGGAGGTACAGACGGTCATTTATCTCAATGACCGGCCAACTCCTAGTCACCTATTCACAGATCGTCTCATTCAGCTTGAGACAAACATTCTAAAATGTTCGTGTATAAAAAAAGAATGGACCAGCACTCCAACGTGATAAATTCATTATTTAGAGATTAGATCTTGATGCAAGTGAACCTCAGAGATGAAAAATATAATCATGGGAGAATCTTCCCTCGGAAAAGTGTCCAAAAGACTTGGAAGGTTTTTGCAAGATTTGTTTTTCGATAAAACTTTTCATTCATAAATAATTCAGTCATTAAGTACCTCTTTAATCATCTGTCAAACGCTGCAAGGATATAATATCATTTTTTAGAATTTAACTTTCCTCTTTAACGGGTTTTACTAAATATAGGAAATTAAACTTTAGCTTATGTTTATTTTCAATAATAATAGTTTTGAAGTTTTGAAATGGAGTAAATCATTATGAAAACTATTAAACCTTGGTGTAATCTGATATTAACTGACAATTTAGTTGGTTTAAAAATGAAGCGATAAAAAGTTAGAGTTTAGAATTCTATGCCACCATTTATATCATTAACGAATTTTATGGATATAATTGCGATGCGAAATGTTTGGTCATCAAACCTTCAAATTAATAATAATTTGTTTTTGATTTACAAAATAATAATAAAGCTGCCTAAAGTCTGACACTATAATTTAAAAAGATACGTAAATAATTCTTTCCATGTCAGCAAAAACATGCATTATAAATTATATACAGGGTGAAACGTTTTGTTAATTCTAGTTAAATACTACCCCACCCCCCTCCCCCCTTTGGATCAGAATTGGGAACTCCCCCATTTTTGTATTGCAAAGGGGCAGTAATCTTCAGTTCATAATCAATAAATCAATCTTACTATAAAAATTCAAATAAAAACTGATTCATAAATTTTCTGAGCCCTCAAAATTAAAAGCTAAACTACAACTTAATCAAACCGTTTAAATTAATGCTTTAGATGTAAAAAATTGGCTCTGAATATTTTCTTTAACCTATTTTTTTTTAACTCTCATCCTAGGCTTAGTTTATCAATGTGATCAATTATTTTATTATTTAGTAAATTTATTTTTATTTTGATCATGTTTTCCCAAACTTTATATATTGTATAATCACCAAATTATCAAACAGGACGGCTGTAATTTTTCCCTATTCAGTGTATATGTATTATGTATATCTTATCTATAAAGCAAACTATTTTTTGGGTTTATTTTGGATTCCTTATAAAATGACTTGACCCCTATAACTTTGATTCAAAATGCAAAATAAACCCAACAAATACCTGGCTGAGAGCTCAAGCTATTTTCTATTTCACGAACGAGATTTTTATAATATGAATTATATCTATATCAATATACTTTATCAAAATATACATAGAATATTAATGTGCAGTCCTGAAATTATGTTAATATGTACGCTGTATATACAGGGTTACCCACAAAGGATGAGACCTTAAAGGCGACTTTATGGAGTTCACTACGTATCATATCATGGTTCTCTGGAGCTATAAACTTGTATCATCTTTACAGAATCATTTATCTCTTCATTACAAGTCAATACATAAAACAGCTAGAAGTCAAATTTAACTTTTCAATTCTTATCTACCTATAAAATAAAGCTCTTCGCTCACATATATATATATATATATATTTTCGGGGTTTTGAAAAGATCCCTTTATATATATATATAATTAAATACTTCCCTTTAGCCTAAAGGGATCTTTTCAAAAACCCTGAAAAAAATATAGTTTAAGCTTACCTTTACACAATACACATAATCGCATGACTTGTATATTGTGTGAAACGCTATGAAATATTGGAAAGTTGTTGGTTTCCCTTGACTGTTAGAGCGTGTAAAGTAATCATAATCTTATTTCCAGGTAGAAAAAGAAGACTTGGACTATTGGGACCTAAAAGAACTACTATCACAGTACATAGGTAAGTACAGTGTACATTAAAATTCAATAACTAACGTGGAGTGCAGTGTAAAATTAGAAATTCTCAAATCTTCAAAATAAAAAAGTTCATTTATGCAAAGAGATGTATTTGACCACACTCAAGGTTTCAACAGAAAAGAAAATGAACTTTAGTTTAAAGTATCTTTGGAAATCAATTAGTATCATTCACAATCATACGCTTTAAAGCTTTATCTGATATATTATGAATTAGATATCGATGTTTTTAATTTTGAAAACGGATTATTTTTATTGTGGTTTCGTTTCAAAGTGACTTGAGCATTTCTTTTGCAGAATAACAAATTAGAAATATCAGAAAAAATATTTCAAACATAGAAAATGGAAAATATCTTCAATCTTCTCAGATAAAGTTTCAAGGACACTCTTGTGATTTAAGCAATGCAATGTTTTCATTAAAGAAAATTTGAGACTTATAAACGATAAACTCTTTAATGAAAGGATTGCAGGAATTTAGTCTATAAATCTTTTTAAGGATTACAATATTACTGCGTAAAGAATATTCTAAAGAAAAGTAATGCAATGTAAAACCACGAACGGGTAGAATTGTGTCATGGTGGAGACTGTTTTAATCCAGGATAGGACAATTTTTCTTAACACTCGAAAAATCTGTTTAAAAATGTAAAAAAAATTAGTTTTTGCCACAAACTCGTATTTTCTAATCGTTATATCTTTGCAACCTTATGTTTTAAACCTTTGATATTCCAAATCTTTCACTATTTGGCCTAACTGAATGTATATAATGAAATATTAAAGGTCTACAACATCAGGTTGAAAAGATAAAAGGATTTGAAAATCAGAGTTAATGACAAAATCTCAAATCCTATCAAACAAAATGTTCGGATTTTTTAAACCTTGCATTGTATTAGGAGTGAAGAGATTATACCTGAGCACGGTGGAACCCTAACAAGAGGTTTTAGTTCAGCTTCTAGTGATGGAGAACCCCTTTCTGGATCTATCATTGGAGAGGACAAGTAACCATTTTATCATTAACAAGCTGAAAAAATTTGTTTAGTCTAACTTGTTGGTAGACAGGTAGATATAGTTTACTATACACTGGTCAACTTGTTGGTAGACAGGTAGATAGAGTTTACTGATTAAACACAACCATAGAAGGACGCTTTAAGATATTTTGTTGATAATCATAAAAAATCAAGAATAAATTCTCCAGGTTTTGGGATCTCCTGTCCTGGGAGATATCCAGCTCAGCCTGATTGACCGGCGCGGGAACCTTGAACTAGAAGTTATCAGGGCTAGAGGGCTGCAGACTAAAGCGGGTTCAAAACTGCTTCCAGGTTAGAAACATTTTTTTTCTTGTTAAATTTATCTTTTCAAACTTCACTGTCACAAGCAATCTGGACGTCATAATCGACCAATATATTTTTTGTAAAACCAAAAAATAGTTTGAAATAAGGAAAACTCCTGTAGATTTAGGTTTAGTAAAATATTGCGTGGTTTACTTAGCCTCTTTTAGTGCCGTGAACTAAATTCCTCCCACAGTCCTTTTGATCGCTAACTGCAAATCAAATCAAATATAAATCAAATCAGATATAAATCAAATCAAATCAACTCAAATATTAATTAAATCAAATCAAATCAAATGAGACGATCCCCGGTCGCCCTCGGCATATGCATTCGACTACCAATGATTTTAGCTGGACTAGCTAAAAGAGGTCTTTCAGGATATTTTGAACTTAAATGATGAGTTATATTTAATTTGTATAAATATGCATAGAGAAAAACTCATTGCAATTTTCTGGGACAATTTGAAAATAAATTTTTTCAGTGAAAAACATCGCAGCTCTGACCTAGTAAACAGTTCTAACATAAAATATATTTTCAGCTCCGTGAAAAACATCGCAGCTCTGACCTAGTAAACAGTTCTAATATAAAATATATTTTCAGCTCCGTGGGTGAAGGTTTACCTTGTAAGCGGGAAGAAATGCTTGGCTAAAGCAAAAACATCCCAGGCTCGTAGAACTCTAGATCCACTCTTCCAGCAGCAGCTCATCTTCAGCCAGAGATATGGGGGTTGTGTTCTTCAGGTTAGATCCGCCTCCCAGCCCCCCCCCCCTTCTCTACAACATACTTTTTTCAGATAGCTTGCAACTTTGGCAATCGTAACGTGTTCTTTTTAGGGAAACTAAGTTCAGAGTTAATGAATAACTAGAAAAAGTTGAACCTATGTACGGAAAGCAGAACTATTTGTCTAGTTGTTTAAAAATATCTATTATACATAGTTTAACTACTTCTAGCTTTCTATTGATTAAATTCTTGTTTGATGCGTGTATAACGATATATATTGTAAATATTGCATCACAATACATCAGGAAAATAATTGTGCAACAAATTATTAAATTATAAATTATTTAAATATTTGTTTAGGTGACTATCTGGGGGGACTATGGACGAGTGGAGGGTGCCAAGGTTTTCATGGGAGTAGCACAAATCCTATTAGATAACCTAGACCTTTCTGAGCTCGTGATTGGTTGGTACAAACTCTTTGGAACATCCTCATTGGTCAGCGTACCACCAGGTGGTGGGAAAGACAGTGCCCTTCAGGTTAGAAGCATCAACTAATGAAATATCTAAAAATCAGAATAGTGAATATTCGAACAAGTTTTGACAATCTTTAATTTTCAGGATAACTCTAAAACTGAGATACAAAACCAGGTTTCGGAGGAGAGTATATCAGTTTCCGGTACATGACACCTGGCCAGCACTCGGACCCTGCGACCAAAAGTGCGGATATACATTAAAGTTTTTTCTAGTAGCCTTCTCATACAGCTGTTCATGTACGAGAACCCAACTCCAGGGGCTGCCAAGGTCCGGGCACACTCTTTATAAAGTATACGGAGGTACAGACGGTCATTTATCTCAATGACCGGCCAACTCCTAGTCACCTATTCACAGATCGTCTCATTCAGCTTGAGACAAACATTCTAAAATGTTCGTGTATAAAAAAAGAATGGACCAGCACTCCAACGTGATAAATTCATTATTTAGAGATTAGATCTTGATGCAAGTGAACCTCAGAGATGAAAAATATAATCATGGGAGAATCTTCCCTCGGAAAAGTGTCCAAAAGACTTGGAAGGTTTTTGCAAGATTTGTTTTTCGATAAAACTTTTCATTCATAAATAATTCAGTCATTAAGTACCTCTTTAATCATCTGTCAAACGCTGCAAGGATATAATATCATTTTTTAGAATTTAACTTTCCTCTTTAACGGGTTTTACTAAATATAGGAAATTAAACTTTAGCTTATGTTTATTTTCAATAATAATAGTTTTGAAGTTTTGAAATGGAGTAAATCATTATGAAAACTATTAAACCTTGGTGTAATCTGATATTAACTGACAATTTAGTTGGTTTAAAAATGAAGCGATAAAAAGTTAGAGTTTAGAATTCTATGCCACCATTTATATCATTAACGAATTTTATGGATATAATTGCGATGCGAAATGTTTGGTCATCAAACCTTCAAATTAATAATAATTTGTTTTTGATTTACAAAATAATAATAAAGCTGCCTAAAGTCTGACACTATAATTTAAAAAGATACGTAAATAATTCTTTCCATGTCAGCAAAAACATGCATTATAAATTATATACAGGGTGAAACGTTTTGTTAATTCTAGTTAAATACTACCCCACCCCCCTCCCCCCTTTGGATCAGAATTGGGAACTCCCCCATTTTTGTATTGCAAAGGGGCAGTAATCTTCAGTTCATAATCAATAAATCAATCTTACTATAAAAATTCAAATAAAAACTGATTCATAAATTTTCTGAGCCCTCAAAATTAAAAGCTAAACTACAACTTAATCAAACCGTTTAAATTAATGCTTTAGATGTAAAAAATTGGCTCTGAATATTTTCTTTAACCTATTTTTTTTTAACTCTCATCCTAGGCTTAGTTTATCAATGTGATCAATTATTTTATTATTTAGTAAATTTATTTTTATTTTGATCATGTTTTCCCAAACTTTATATATTGTATAATCACCAAATTATCAAACAGGACGGCTGTAATTTTTCCCTATTCAGTGTATATGTATTATGTATATCTTATCTATAAAGCAAACTATTTTTTGGGTTTATTTTGGATTCCTTATAAAATGACTTGACCCCTATAACTTTGATTCAAAATGCAAAATAAACCCAACAAATACCTGGCTGAGAGCTCAAGCTATTTTCTATTTCACGAACGAGATTTTTATAATATGAATTATATCTATATCAATATACTTTATCAAAATATACATAGAATATTAATGTGCAGTCCTGAAATTATGTTAATATGTACGCTGTATATACAGGGTTACCCACAAAGGATGAGACCTTAAAGGCGACTTTATGGAGTTCACTACGTATCATATCATGGTTCTCTGGAGCTATAAACTTGTATCATCTTTACAGAATCATTTATCTCTTCATTACAAGTCAATACATAAAACAGCTAGAAGTCAAATTTAACTTTTCAATTCTTATCTACCTATAAAATAAAGCTCTTCGCTCACATATATATATATATATATGTTAGCTAGAGCTATACATATATATATAATATACAATATAATATACGCATAGCTTTAGCTAACATATATATATATATTTATATATATATATGTATATATGTTAGCTAGAGCTGGCCAAACGGCTGGAATGAATTGGCTGACATTTTTTAACATATATAGGCTATAAAAAATATTCTATTTTTATTTCTAAAATTAGACTTTTTGAAAATTACACGGGCAACGCACTTCAACTAATATTTAAGTTCAGATAGGTAAAAAACGTCTCAATCTTTGTGGGCAACCCTGTATCAAAATTATGCTTGTTTCTTAAAAGGGACTGAACGTGTAATTTCAAGTGACCCTCCGTGTAGAGATGGCAATATACCAGTTTTACAATTCTATTTCCTTAAAAGCTATGTCTGATAGTATGAATTAGATATGCATGTTTTGTTTGTTTAAACATTTTTTTAAACTTCTGGTTTTTCTGCATAAGTGATTTGCGCATTTCTTGCTAACGAATTGAACTGATTTAGACACTTTTTGAGGCAGAAAAACGACGATATCTTATACATTTTTGATAAGATAAAGGTTTCAAGGGTTCGTTGCTATCTTGGCATGGAGGGTATCTTGTAATTACGCCTCCAGTCCCTTTAACAACTGAGAAAAATTTAAATCGAAACAAAGAGAAGTCGTAATGGAGAGACAGTTGTAAACCGTGAGTTTCATTTTTAGAATACATAAAACATCTTCTGCATTTTAGATTCCTTGGATTCTATTCTCTCTGTGTTGTATTCAAATATTTAACCGGATCAACTGGCTCTTTTGATACTTTGCGTATACAAATCAAAACTAGAAGAGCTACAGTGAAACCCCCTAATAACGAATACATCGGAAGAATTTATCAAATGTCGTCTTGACAATTTTTCAATGAGTTTTTTACTATATTACGTAAATTTCAGTATTTGCGAAAATAAATAAATAGCCATGAATATGCGGGAACAGTTTTAAAGAGTTCCATATAATCATTTAATTAAAAAACTAAATATCTGCAACATTCCATTATCAGAAAGTGAAGAATACGACATTTGATGAATTATTTCGATGTATTCGTTATTAAGGGTTTCACTGTACAAAATCAGAAGGTCGTAACAGATTCTTGGTTTTGTGTTAAGGAATTGAGTCTTTGCCACAAACTCTATACTTTTTTAATCCCTAAATACTGGGAGCTTGATAGTGTATGACTGTATACTCGAGTACCTTTGATATTTCAAACTCAGATTATTAGATCTAACAGATATCATAGTTTGAAATATCCATAGGTCTCTGACAATGGGTTGCAAAGATATAGGGAATAGGAAAAGACTCAATTCCTTTGAGAAACTTTTACTTTGAATGTGGAAAAGCGTTCCCTTTGAATAAATATTATTTTTGGGGAAATATTCTAGACGAAGACTTATTGCGTCAAAACAGCAAAATATTAAAAATATTACAAGCTTTTAATTAATACATCTCATCAAGGGTGTAATGCAAGGAAAGTTAATTGCGGCCGTGTATACTCTGCGTACACATTGAAACCAGTTCTCTTTGGGAGGAATTTGTGAACAAGAATAGATGCATCAGTGTTCGTTTAGTGTCCGAGGAGGTTAAAAGCATAACATTTTGATAATTTTGATAATTCACACAATAGTTTCCTATGACCAGAATATTTCATTGGTTTTTTCATGTGAAAGATGGATCCCATGTCAGAGACAGTACACTGCAGTACAAAAGATGTGTACACTTCTGAAATAACTTGCCTTGCATTACATTCTTGCATCTCATGAAATTAACTGATTTCCAAGGTTATAATGTAAGGAAAATTACTTCAGAGGTGTGCGCATCTTTTGTACTGTAGTGCAGACAAATATTTGAAATTTTGATCATTCAAAAACCTTCCCTGTGGTGACGTGATGTACCACAAAAAAATTGGGCCCGATCGGTTCAGCCATTTTGACGTTTATTGGATACAAACAAACAGACAGACAAGCCAAATTTATATATAGATAGCATAAAGTTAGCCATGGCCGTAGGCAAAAAAGATTTAATTATCACATTTGAAAAAGATCGACAGCATATACTCCGAAGTTTAAAACATAATTTAACTCAAAACACACTTAGGACAAACCTGTTTAATATATTCTTTGATTTTCTTTATCCAATATTCTCTTTATCCAATATTCTCTTTATCCAATATTCTCTTTCTGCAATATTCTCCTATTCTCTCTATCCAATATTATCTTATTCTCAGTGGCGTAAATAAGGGGGGTTATTGGGGTTATTTACCCCCCTCCCCTTAGAATCCTGGGGTTAATTACCCCCCCCCCCCACCAAGAATCCTGGGGGTAATTACCCCCCATAGAATCTTGGAGGTAATTATCCCAGAACTATTGCGAGTTGTTAACTTGTTACTTTGTTTTTAAAAAAGGTTGATTTTAAAATTGAATATCTTTTACGAAAATAATTTAAAAGTCAACATATTCTAAATGATTTTAAATTCTAAAGTAATAGTCAATTTCATTACAAATAGATGTTTTTTAATAGAAAAAAGGGTATGGGCAATGAAAAATACATTTTTACTTCTCAATAATGTCATATCCATATTAGATTTATTTAAGATCTTAACATACTATATTGACGACAAGAAAATTTTAGAAATTAGAAATAAGAATACAAACAAAGCCATTATTTTTTCAAAGTTTTGCAGAGTAGAGATGTCAACGATAGTGTAACGTAACGTAAAATGTACGTTTTTGTACGTTACGTTACAATAATGTGTAACGTTTGGATATATTCTATATAACGTGAACGTTAAACGTTAACGTTATAGGAGCTCATACCTAACGTTAACGTTAAACGTTAACGTTAAACGTTAACGTTAGAGAAATATACCCCCAACGTTAGCGTTTTGTGGAAATGTAACGTTATTTTTCTAATATCTACAACTTTTTTGACCATAACGTAAAGAAATGTT